TTATATCTTGTCCCACGTTGAATGTAACGCCCGTAAACCAAAAATGTGATTTTTGGTTGTGTGTCGATTGACACGTGTGTTTAATTCGCGAAGGAATCTGTTTGTTGGAGCTGTGTCGCGCGACACAAGAGGTTTGTGTCAAGCGACACATGCTTAAATTGGACCGTGTGATTTTGATTTCTGATCGGGTTTGGTTTGGGTTGGTTTAGGGAACCTAGGGTTCCGTATTTAAGCAGAGAAAAGCGTTTTCTCTTGGGGTTGGCCGAGAATTTGATCAGAGAAAGAGTTTTAGAGAGTTTTGTGAGAGAAGTGTTTTTCTTGAGAGAGAAACAGTTCTGCTCGGGTTTTTGGAGGAGATGATTGGCGGGGAAGATCGGATCGGATCAGAGTGAAACTTTGAGGGTAAGTTCTCCTATCTTTGCTCTTGATGTGGGTGAAAACCGCGTGCCTTTTGGATGAGTATTCGCTGAGTTATGGCCGTTGGATTGTGTGAGATTTCTGCAGTCTCGAGTCTGCGATCAGTCCACTTCGAGGGAGGATTCCTGTCGAACCAGAGAGAATCAGGAGACGATCCTTATGCCGTTGGAAAGCTCTCTCTGTATAGTTTTTTTATTAGGTTTCGGATCCTGATTTAGAGGTAATCTCCGTTCTCTGTGTTCGTTTGATTTCAGGGTNTTGTTTCTGAAATCTCTGTTTTTCCAGTTTCGATTGGCGAGATTGCGGGCTGTTTTCCTATCGATCTGTTTGGAGTTAGGAGACGTTCTATACACCGTTTCGAAGCTCTTGGTGTCTAGTTTCCAGATTAGGTTTCAGACCTTGATTTGGTAAAGAGAGTCGCGAGTTATTCCCTTCTGTTCGGGTCATGTCGGGAGTGCCTTGTTTCCTCGTTTCAATCCGTTTGCAAAGGTGAGTGCGTGACCATAGGCTCTCGGATTAGGATTGTGTGGAATACGATTGATTGTGGCTTGTTTTTTCTGTGTTTGGTGATTGAATTGTGCAGGATCGTGATCTGAGTCCTTGAGATTGAGCCATGAGAGG